TCTGTGAGCTTGTACAATCGCATATCAACTCACCTGGGCGTCGGCTTCGGCTCGTTCCGCATCTGCAGGGCCTTCTTCTCTGGCACCCTGAACAAAATAAGAGTGAAAAACTCGACTGTGACATTGATGCACAGTTTTATTAATGAAATATCTGAATATCAAAATATTTGAAGACAGAAAAAAGAAAAAACACAGAAAAAAAACAATTAAAAACACAAGTAGAAAATGAATTACAAATGCACTGTAAATGTAAAGAAATTGATCCAACAAAAGACAAATATAAATATAAAATATATTGGGGTCTAGTGATTGAAGAGATAAAGTTAGCCAAAATAAAATATAAAGTTAAGATACTTTTTTAATATATTTCCTTAAAAAAACTATTAAAATCAAATAAAAATCAGTCCAATTAAAAGACCTTTGACCTCCGTGGTCCACTTCCTCCTGTGTATAAATGTTACCTGTACAAGAGACACCAGGATGCGACAGAAGCGGCCGGACGTGTCTGATTCGATGGCCTCCTCCAAAGACTTCTTATAGGCTGTGTAAAAACAAATGGTTGTTTTTTTTTATTATTATTATTTTGAAAATAACTTTTATCTCTGAACCATTTTGCGGACCTTGAACTCACCATCTTGGTAGGCAGCATTCATGGCCAGTATTTCTTCGTTGCTCCTGGTGGCCAGGATCTCAATGAGGGAGTGTTCGTCAGTCCCAGCACCCTGTCAATCAATGAATGAAAAACTAATATTTTTTAACACTTCAGCTGAAATTGTGTGAACATCTTTTGCCATCATGTGTTTTAAGGGGCTTCAACTTGAGGTCAGCGGCCCAGCTCGGGTCAGACCCATGTGTATGAGTTTAGGACTTAATTAATATTGTTGAGATCACCATGAGTATTTTCACATATTCATAATTCATTCATTTGGAATAGTCAAAAATAAAAACACAGCCATATACAGATTTAAAGATCACAATTAATCATGATTCCACAGCTATCCTGTGATTCATCAGATCCAAACTCATTCAGACAGCCCCAGGTGTTTCAACGATTCAAAGTCGACAGTCAAAAACAAAGTTTGTGTTGCTCTGCGATGATGACGTTCGAACTGCAACCGTAATCTTATCATTTCTGTGAGACTGATGACTCAGATTTTTGAGGGCCGGAGGTGTTATCAACATCTCACACAGTGTGATGCGTGAGACTGTGTGAACTGTGTGTGTATCAACTCAGAAACAGCTGTACCTCCATGGCCTTCCTCATCATTTTGGCATCAAACTCTGCCGGCGTCAGCATGAGGCCGATGATCAGCCGTTCTAGGTTCTTGGACAGTTCAGATTTCAGGTCCTTCATCAGATCCTGACGAGAAGAAACACCAAAGAGAAAAGACAATACAGCTAGAAGACAAAGAAAACAACATATTTGATGATATATTTGATCATATATTTGATGAAATGATCGATGATCTTCATCATCGTCTCTCACCCTTCCCAGTAAGGACTTAAAGGCTTGTCTAATCTCCTGCCTCTGGGCGTTGCTTCTCTTTGCAACAATTTCGATGATGGTGTCTTCATCTGTTCCTGTTGTTATGATAACATTTAAAAAAAGATTAGCAAAAGGCAAATGTGTTTAAGTATAAAAGCATTAGCAGTGATGATGGGCGCTACGTTCACAGCTGCTCACCAAAGCCCTTCATGGCCTTCCTCAGAGCTTGTGCATCAGCAGCGGGGTCGAAATCAGACGCCGGGCAAACAGTTGGCCTCAGCTGGAAAAGAGCAAGTGAAAGAAAGTGTCTTCGTCATCTTTGAATGAAAAACTCCAGGTCTTTAGTGGGTTTTAGTGGCATGCATGCAGACGTCTGTATAAACATGCACAGTGTTCACCAAAGCACCTCCAGCCTAAAATGCCCTCTCAATGCCTCTCTGGATGAGTCGATAAATCATGAATTGTTAATTCTTATTGATTGCAATTAATACGCAGAGCTACCCTGTAATCTATCGGATTAACTTACATTTTACTTGGGTGGCAGTGCTAATATATGCACACATTTATATCCACATAGACATATATTTATAGACCTTTAACTTGGTTTTTCTAATTACGCAATTATAATAATTCAAATTCTTTGCATGTGTAAATGTTCTCGGTATTAAAACATAAAAGAAAGCGTGCTTAAAATTAAAATAAATGATTTTCTGTTGAAACATATTTTCAGAAAATTCTAACCAGCACATTTTAGCTCCAGGAAAACAATCTCTGAATATCAGTGGGGGACGGTGACCCTGTGAGGTCAGGAGCTCCACACTCAGTGAGTGCGTGGGCTGAAGCGCGGCACAGTCACCGGGGGGCAGCGAGGAGCGCCTCAGGATCACGTCGTGACAAAACGTTCTATGATGCCGCAGACATCGGCAGACAAAACACCGTGTACCTGGCGTTATCAGCATCAGTTTTTGGCAAAGCAAGAAGCAGGTTACTGTGGAGCCAGCCTGTCATTTGAAGCACGTTACTGCCAAGCCAAACATGCAGTCACACGTCTACAGTCAGAGGAAACTGTGGCCCAAACCTGGACTTTGGTCATGGAACTTAATTCCCACATCTTGTAGGCTAGCTGAGCGGCTTCAGGGAAGAACTCTCCGGCTAAACTGTAAAGATCAGTTTACAAAACCAAAACCTTATGTTGAACACAACTGTACAAGTCTACCAGGTGTAAACATAACGAAAAAATAAATTAAAAAAAAGTCAAAATAAATGACATTTTACACAACTTCCATTAGGTTACTGCAGTAACTCTATCAACTCCATTACAATGTACTTTTCTGAAACTCAGTGTCTGGCGCCCCCGTGTGGTTGTTGCTACTCTTTCAACGCACAGTCAAGAAATGCCAGGCGTTTTTTTTTAATGAGCGAAAGGGTCGGTGGGCAAATGGTAAGACAGTCTGTCTCACAGCTGCAACCCCGAAAACAAAACAGTTCTGCAGCACCAAGCAAACCCACAGCAGCCACTGGGAAATATGTAGTGAATGTTCCAGCGATTCAGAATGAAAAAAAATAATGGCAAAAAAATCCTGCCGTTTACAACAGCTTTAAAAATAAAGACAAGACTTGATCGAACCACAGCAGCAGTGTGAATAATTTGAATCTAACTAATCTAAGAACAATGTTAGAACTCACTCGTCGTCCCCTCCACACAAGTTCAGCAGCGTCCTCTTGTAATCCCCAGATGTGTCATCCTGACAGGTTAAAACGCACCACGTTAAATTCAAATTACAAAGGTTGAAATGTTAAATACAACAGCTTGTTTTTTTTTCTGACCTTAATCATGTTATAAAGTGACTTTTCATACTGGAGGCGGAAATACTCTCGAATGTCTAGCATGTCGATTTCAGAACGACAAATCATGATCCTAATCAGGGTGTTGTCCGCCGTCCCCAGACCCTGGGAATGTACAGGAGGACACAAGTTCATTTTTCCTGAATTTTTAAGAGAATAATCTTAATATTCATTTTATTTGTGTGTAAGAACTGTGACGACTGTTGAGGTGACGTTATCTTTTGCTGTGTCTTTACCTTCATGGACTTGTAGAGGCGCTTGGCGAAGAACATGGGAACGCTCCTGATGGACTGCACTGTGACATCAGGGAATAAGACACTGCATTATTTCACCGCTCCCTGCAACAGTCAGAAACGCTGTAGCTGTTCATGTGCTTCTTACCAACAGCCAGCATCAGCCTCTCGAAGTCTCCCGACAGCTCGCTCTTTATGCTGTCCTCAATGGACTTCTCAGCAATTTTCTCATAGGCATCAAAGACTAAACAAACGCAGGACAGAGACAAGACAAGGGACAGGGACAAAACAACCGATGTTCACTTCTGATGCTCCAGTAACGCACGACCGCAGGGGCGTGTGACTGAAATACAACTCAGCCTTCCACAACAATGTTTAACCAAGGTCAGAGTGTAAATGTTTTAAATGCCTCATTGTTGCGCTAATGTCACTGATAGCTTGACTCACCCATGCGGAGGTGGGTCACGCTGCGGTTTCCCAGGATCATGATGAATTTGGCCTCGTCCGTCCCCCACTGCTCCTCTCCTGCGGCGTACAGGTCCTGTGAAGAATTTGTTTTTTCTTTTTACTGGAACGTATTTTAAGGTATTTTGTAAAAAAAATGCCTTTGAAAAAACTGTCAATTATTTCATATTTCTTATATCTATATATTCAGCATATGTACAGTATATTTATAAATAAACATGTTCTCACCTGTGCGTCCTGCTCCACCAAGTCGGCATCAACCACCCCTGACTCATCTCTGGTCCCCTAAAAAAAAAAAAAAACAGCACAGCTTAGCATTCAGTGGCAAAAGTCACTGCTCGGCTAATGTGAACTGACCTGGAGTAAAACAACCAGCATCTTCTTGAAGTGACCTGAGGTGTCCATGATGATGTCCTCCTCCATGTCTCTGCCGTAAGCTTAAAGAAGTCACCAGGGAATAAAATAAAAATATATAAAAATGCTAAATGAAATGATGCTAAAGCAGGGCTAAAATACAGCAGCTGTCTTTACGTGAATGAACACTCGTTACCATCTTTGTAGGCTGCCACCATGTCGTGCATCTGTGCGTTGGTTCTAGATGCCATGACTTCAATCAGACACCTCTCGTTGGTTCCATTCCCCTAAAACACAGAGAGAACTTTAACCTGACACAGATCAGCAACTGCAGTTAGGTTGGTTGTGAATGGAGTAAAGGATAACTGTCTTACTTTAACCGCATCGTTGATTTCTTTGGCGTCGTGGTAGGCCGGAGTTCTCATCAGACTGACAATGAGACGTTCAAATTTCCCCGTCAACTCATACTTCAGGTCTTCAATCAGGTCCTAATGAACAGAGCTTTTCTTTATTTTTGTTTTCACAGGACCTGTTCCTACTTCTTCTTTCACTCCTCACATCATCTTAATGTATTGGTTTTAATGCAACCAATGCTTTAAAACAATTTCGAGAAACTAACTTTAAACAGCAGCAGAGGGCAGCAGAGGGCAGCAAACGTGCAGATGAAAGAAAACCATAGGGCAGCAAACGTGCAGATGAAAGAAAATACACTTTAAGTGAATCAAAAGATACCGAGGGACTAGTTTTTGTATCTAAATGTGCCACACCTTCCCAAAGTTGCACTTGTACGCCGCAATGACATCCTGTCTCTGGGCGTTGCTTCTTGAGGTGACCAGGTCCAAAATGGCGTCCTTGTCACTACCTGAGAGACACAAGGCAACATACTCAACAAACGTCATGAACAGTGAAGTCAATTGAAACAGAAAAAGAAAGTACTCACCGATGCCTTTCATGGCATTGTAAAGAGTCTCAGCGTCAGCGCTGGGATCGAAGTCGGGAGCATCTAGAATTGTGCCTCGGAACACCTGCCGAAGAAATAGTTCCTCAGAGGTTAGGTATTTCTCAGTCCAAGAGATGTTCAATGTTCAAACACAGAGCTAAACTTTCATTTTTAGTTTTACAAATATTTATACATTTCAAGGTCAAGGTTGTCACATACATGTTTGTTATTAATCCAAATAATGGTGATAATTTACAATCATGATTAGTCGTGATTAATCTATATCTACCCTGTGATTGATGAAAGTAACATTTTTAATTGTTTGACATTTGGTCTGGAATACTGTACTACTACTGTACAAACTCATTCAGTGTTCGGACCAGATGATTGGCTGCTGAGGAACTGAAACTCAAACAGCAGCAGCTGCTGCCGTCAGGAACGCCGCTGCCTGTAGGGAGAGCCAAAGTGTTTGTCCTCCACCCTTCTGAGGGCCACTGCACATGCTCAGTTCATCGGCCTCGCTACAACGGCCATCACTTGTCACGACAGCTGGAGAGCTTCAGCTGCATAGCAACAGGAGCACGAACACAAGACCTCCAACCAGAGTGATGGGTTCTACTCACTAACACTGATGTGAATGGTTTATAATGAACCTCATTACGCTATAGAAGTTTCCTTCCTCATTAGGTGCAGTGTGTTTCCTCTCATACAAAGGCCACAGTTTTCCAGCCCATGATTAATAGTGAGTGTAAGTTTCACCTAAAGCAGCGGCTGGCGCTGCGTTCACTGACAGCACGGACCATCTCTGGAACCATGCCACCTTAAGCTTAAACAATTCTTCAGCATCATTAGCTTTAGAAAGACGCAGCCGTGTGTGTGTCCAGGTGGAGGGGTGGGGGTGGGGAGAGGTGACACCCTACACTGCTGCCTTTATGATGGGGACGACTGCAAAACGCTGACAGGTGGCAAGGAAACCGACCTGACTCTTGTCCCACACCTCATGCAACGGTAAACAAAAGCCTCCGCATTCCACAGGCACGAGATCCGATCCCGAAACACGACATTATCCCAACGCACTGTTACATAAAGACGAGAGAGGAAAGAGAGTCCGGTTCACTCACCATGTCTGTGTTTGGTCTTCTGTCTCAACACTGTGCAGGAATCAATGGTTTGGGGCCTAAGAAGGGAAACAGAGATGGGGGAGGGAGAGAGAGAGAAAGAGAGAGATGTAAAGTGCTGACTACATGACAGTACCACATACTGGTGAAGAGCAGTTACATCATATCATTTCAAACTGATTTGGTTTCTGTTTCTGTGGCTCAGAGTCAGTCAGTTCACCAAATATATACAGGACATACAGACAATTCTGGGTGAAAACAGTAGGTGGCAGAAGGTAGCGTTTTAACTTCTGCCTCAACTGAACCTTTTTTTTTCTTTAGCAAAATTCTAACATGTCGTCGTAAGGGTTTCACATAGGTGGTTTGTGTCGATTTATCTTGATTAACCACAATTAACTGTTATCACAAATTGTCTTTGATTACAATGAAAAGTCACCCTAACCCTGGGATTGATGGAATTGGTGGGCGGTGTTTAAAAATAAGGCACACCCTCTGCCCTTTGGCTGAACATTGTTGATGTACGGCCATACATTTTTCAGCCACACCAGTTGGTGGCTGAACGTCTGGTGCAGACATTTCTGTCCCAAGAAGAATTTCTTACATTATTGTGGACTTTTCCTTATCTTCAAAGCTAAATCTAAATCTTAATCTTTTCTTAAGTTTTTTTTTTTTAAGTCACGGTACTGGATCTTTTCCTTATCTTCAAAGCTAAATCTACATCTTAATCTTAAAGTTTTTTTTTAAAGTCACCGGACTGGATTAATAATAATATTTTTTTTTAAAAACCACTGAACCAGTGACACAGAGCTTTACAACTGTAGTCTTAGCTCTTTCTGCAGAGGAGGGCGGACGTTCGGTGAATATATGACATACGTTTCCTTTTACATTGAATCACATGGAAGGAAAATACTGTCATTTTTTTCCATCGTGGCAAATTCAGAATTATTATATAATAAACAGCTGCAATGAAGAATTAGGCTCATCAAACTTACTACTGCTTTTAAAGAATAAAAACAATAATACATGTTTGAAGTATGCAGACTATTTGTTACAGGAACACACAGTGCACAAGTACACGGTCATGCAGTACTGTTAGTTTAAGACAGGGCAGAAGCCCTCTAAAAATAGCATGCTGTTTAACTTCATGTCATAATCAAGGTCCGGGGGTCTGGGCCTCAATGAATGCAGAACCACGCCCGTCTCCTGTACCCCAAAAGTACACGTCAGGAGAATTGATCGATCATTAATATTGATTTCCATATCAATCTCTGATCAGATAAAGACGTCTCACGCTGCGGTAAACTTTCTCAGAATGCGTTAGACTGTGAATGGAATCAGTGGGAGTCCTGGTCGGTTGCTGCAGACTCATTGGCACAGACCCGAATGACGCGTCAGCGAATTCAGGAGGCGCGCGTCTTCTAGGATGCAGTTTTGGGTGCAAAAGTGCAGTAAATACTCTTAAAAAAAAAAAAAAAAAATCTGACCGTACCTTTTTCTCGGCTGTGTCCCCGTGTGTGTCTACGTCCTCCGTCTCTGTCTCCACCTCCGACACTCAGGCTGTCCCGTTATGTGTCCTCTCCGTGACGCAGCGCCTACAGCGCGCTCCCGCGGTGCATCTGGAGGTGTGCGCGTGCACGCGTGCCGCACAAACTACGCTACTCAGACTGGATTTCAACTTTTTCCAGCGGGCAAGGAGCCAAACTAAAAGTCTTTATATATGTACATAATTTTTTTTAACTTAATTTATGTTATTATTTTAACGTGTATTTTTACCGGTGGTCTCGTTGACACAGGAGACTTCGTCCTCAAGAGAGACCTGTTTCAGACATACAATAAACAAACAACAATTAGTTGCAGGCAAACACACACACATACACATACAAAATCAAATATAAAACCCAAATAAATCCAAATAAAAATATATTACTGTCAGCTGTTTAACAGTGCTGCAACTTTATGACAGGAAAGAGGGACTTTCAGTTGTGATTTGAGCACAGCAGGACTTACTGGAACTGTTGTGAGTGAGTGAATCTATCTGCTCTATTTCTGTCCTGTCCACGATCTATTCCAGTAAGGCGGGGGAGAGACACCAGCATATTTTCAGGCAGAATGCGTGTGTGTGTGGCGGGGGAGGTGTGTGTGTGGGTGGGCAGGGAGCGAGCCCCAACAGAAGTGTTCAATCACCGTCGTGTCTATACAATAACCGTAGACACTTTCTGATAACTGTATGATATTAATCATTAACCTAGGTACCAGAATTGTACTGTCTGTATAGCCATCTGCTGCCATCTAGTGGAAGAGCATTTCATTGTTCTACCTGTCATGTCAAACAAACGAAGACAGATTATTTGAAAAAATAAATAAATAAACAAACAAATAAATAGTTTTCGAACGAATTAACTAATAATTTGCTCATTTTTCACATGACATACCTGGTGACATTTCACACAGAACAGCCGTTAGGAATCGCCGCAGTAAACAGAACAAATGTATCGCACGACCAAAACTTTACAACAGCACAGGCTGAGACACAGCTACACCTGTTGGACCATTTGTCAGTTTCCAACAGAAACGACATATTACAGAGATGTTTAATTATTAAAATGTGTTCGGCAACAAGGGGTGTTTTTAAAATGGATTTATAACTTACAATATAAACTCTTAGCTGCGAGCTAAAGATGCCGCTCCAGTCACTTCTTCGTAGCAGCCGCTGGTATAATTTGAGATGCACTACTGCCATCTACTGGCGGCCTATTTTGTTTTTTGAAAAAACAGCACATTAAATAGGCTAAAGAAAATCTCTTGCATAAGGCAGCAGATAAATAGAACCAACATTCACTCTGAGGAAGTTGTTTGCGGTTAACCCCAGAAGGTCTGCATATATTTATATACATATATATGTATTTTTATATAAATAAATCATAAATAAAACACACAGAAAAACAAACCTCGTTGACCATCCAGGTCACATATTTCTGACCATGTAAATTTGTTTTCCCCTTTCCTCACCCCTGTGCCTTTCGTGCAATAATGAGCCCATTATGATTGAAAATGCTGGGAAAAGAGAAAGGCGACTTTGTAACTAATTCCACAGAGTGGGAGGGTCACACAGGCCAGTGTTGTATATAGAGCAGAAAAAAAAGCCATGTTTGCTTCATGCTGGTCATTAGTTCGGATACTTTTGCCCAGACCCACGGTGACCATTCGCTCCGTGTGGAACTGACGACAAGGTAAAAAAAAAAGAAGAATATCAGCACCTTTTGAATTCACGTGGTGAGTACATTTAACAATAGTTAGTAGAGAAAGACATGTATAATTTGCATCAATGTATTTGCAGTTATAAAAAGTTACATGAGAAAATTAATAATGATCTGTTTGGAAACTGCTGTTTGGAATTATTTCCCTGTTGCCTTTCTGGAAACTATGAAAAGCAGGAGGATCTGCAGAGAGGAAGTGCCAGCGTTTGGTTTGGTCAAAGGTTCCTTGGCCGCCGTCACAGGCTGCATTCCCACTCACCTCCTGCCTGCTGAAGTACGTAGATGCCAGCAGGGATTAGGTGATGTGAAACCCACCACCCTTTAGGCGGGACATGAGAAGCCAAAAGCTACCTGTTAGGAGTACGAGTGCAGCCTGACGCATACATAAGCCATGAAAGCTGCTTTGTCCTCGGCCGTTTCATTAACTCACAAGGACATTGATGTGGCAGCGTTACACTTCCAGGCCCCTTCCCTTTTTTTGGGGGGTGGTGTGGGGAGTGGGTTCGAACAGAGATGCAGTGACACTGTGGCAATTGTTCCCACTCAGCATATACACAGGTTGGAGAATATGTTGTCTGAAAACCAGGTGGAAAAACAAATACTACAAGTATTGTAAATTAATCCTGCTAACGGAGGATAATCTGAAAGTCACAGAGGAATGTAAACGCAGACGTCAACAGTTAAAGCTGGAGTTAACCTCACAAAGCCTGGCTAATGTGATCAGGTGTAAAATATCTCACATTTTTTCCTACTATTTTTTTTATTTCTCTTTTAGCTCCTTGAACATGTCTTCCGTCTGACCTGCCGCTGCTGCTGCAGTGAGGTGAGAGCACAAATGTTGAATTTTAACACGTAAGAGACTCATTAACATATGGACAGGACTGGATTGGGACGTCACTGCGAGTAATCGCAGGTTGAGTAAAGTGCAGTCAGGATGCAGGGCGTTGGATGAACACTTGCTTTATCAGCAACATCATATCAGACAGGTGATAAAAACACCTTATTTAGCCTTCAAACAACAGTGAGACGCCGACTGAGTCTCTGTTCCTTTTCGTTTCTCCTGTCTTTTTTTGGTGAACTCTGCACAGACACTGCTGTGATTCCTCTCCAACTGCTTCATAAATGTGGTGTTGTTCTATCACCGGTCCTGGTCTGGTCCACCTGACAATTATTTACTGACATGTGATCAATCACTGTTCCTTCCCCACACCTCCAACCTTCCCGCTAGTCCTCCCCTCCCCTCTCACTCCCACTTTCTCGATAGCATCCACCTGCACTCCCACCTGTCTCTCCCTATCACTCAGCGTTCCCACATCTTTCCATCAGGATCCAAACATGCCGTGTGGCTTGGTCAAGTCTTTTCTGGGCAGCCTCTCTCGGAGGAAGCCCCTGGAGCCTGAGGGCGAACAGTCCACGTTTGAGCGATGCCTGACCACCCTGGACTTGGTGGCCCTGGGCGTGGGCAGCACCCTGGGAGCCGGGGTCTACGTCCTGTCGGGTGAGGTGGCCAGGGACACAGCTGGACCCAGCATCATCATCTCCTTCTTCATAGCAGCTGTGGCCTCCATCTTCGCCGGGCTGTGCTATGCAGAGTTTGGGGCGCGGGTTCCCAAGACGGGCTCAGCGTACCTGTACAGCTACGTGACCGTTGGAGAGCTGCTGGCTTTTGTCACCGGCTGGAATCTTTTACTCTCCTACGTCATCGGTGAGTTAAAAAGGTTTTGTTCAACGTATAAAAAAAATATATTTATATGTAGTTTATTAAGAAGTGTGTCTATGCAGCAAACCTATTTGTTTTAAGTTAGTAACATTTTAGCATTTTTTCTGGCCCTATGCAGCAAACCTATTTGTTTTAAGTTATAACATTTTAGCATTTCTTCTGGCTGTTGTGGACACTGCTGTAAAAAAAAAAAAAAAATTTCTGTCCGTGTACTGTAGTTGTGCTTTACTGGAGAAAAAAACAACCCATGATTCATCAACCATTAACACAAGACCCTTTAAGAGTTGTTGACCTTTTACCTGCTGCTGAAGCACATTTTTAATGGCTTTAAAAAACTACAGTTTTTTTTGTCATTCGTTCATTTCTGAGACTAAATAACATAAACATATTTATTAATAATAACTAATAAGTTCAGTCAAATGATTGATTTAAAGGTTGTTGTTGGTGTCAGGAAACAAGGAAACATTAGGGGGTGATATTTTGGTTTATGGCTCTGTTTACTGTTCACCTCATGACTCATGTTGATTACTTGTTTTCACCGTTTTCTCACTATCTGCTCAGGGACGTCCAGTGTTGCCCTGGCGTGGAGTGGGACTTTTGACGACCTCATAGGGGGCGTCATATCAAAATTCTTCCAGGAAAATGTGGCCATTGGTCTTCCTGGTCTGGCACCTTACCCTGATGTCTTTGCTGCAGTTCTTATCATACTGCTATCAGGTACAAATAAACACTTACAGTACCACTGGTGTCATTTTAGTTAGAGATGATAGCACGCTGTCATAAAACTCATTCACCTTAATATTTATATCTGGGCAGGTGTCCTGGCCTTTGGAGTGAAGGAGTCGACGACGATAAACAAGGTCTTCACGGCGGTGAACATCCTGGTGCTGCTGTTTGTTACCATCTCTGGATTCATCAAGGGAGACATTTCCAACTGGCGAATCAGTGAAGAGACTCTGAAAAACGCCACGGCGGTACTCAAGTGAGAGCCATATCATGTTGTCTGTGACACGCAGCCCAATCTGTCTTACATAAACGTAACTGTTTGAAACTCAAGGTCCATGTTTACAAATGTAATAAATACGGAGGCATGAGACCATCTCAGCTGGAGGTGTTGTCAGGGCGGGAGATAACTTTGTCGGAATGCGCTTTTTACACAGAGAGGAAGTAAAAAGAATTGGAGACAAAGAGAGATAAAAAAATCTTAATTTGTGATACTTATCCTTAATTATTTAATTTTATCGAACATACAATTATTGCTGCTCCTAATACAGAGTAGATTCACATATCACAGTTATTTAAGCACCCTGTGGGGAAAACATTCTGTTTCACTGACACATTTGGGTCTTAAAATACCACCTTAATGCCCAGCATGTTTTTTTGGCTGGGGGTTTCAATTTCATGTCAGACACTGGGCTTGTGTCATGTTGAATATTGTGAATAATCATGATGAGTCGTTATTAATTATTACCTGGTTAAACAAAGGTTGAATAAAAACAATTAATCATGATTACTCGTGAGGAATCCACATCTGCCCTTTAATCAGATTAAAATTTGCATTGCTTGACAGCCCTAGTGCATAAATAAAAATAACACAAACCTTGGCCGTCACATCCCCCCGTTGTAAAAGGAGATTAAAGTTCCTCTTACGATAAATACACTCGTTATTACTGTAACAAGGACTAAAGTTGCCAGTCATCACTGTGGCCAGAACAACTTTGCAACATTGTGACTTTCTGTGATGGACTACAGATGGACTCTGACAACACTGCTGTAGTGTCTGATAAAATCACACCTGCTCCTCCATTCACACTCTCACCTTTTTTTGCAGTAACCTCAACTCTACCGCAAATGTCACAAGCCCCTTTGGAACGGGTGGATTCTTTCCTTATGGCTTCTCTGGAACTTTAGCCGGAGCTGCAACATGTTTCTACGCCTTCGTTGGCTTCGACTGCATCGCCACCACAGGTAACGATCAGAATCCTGAGTCATCCTGGGCCGCTTCCAGATCTGTTTTTTATGGAGTATAAACAGTTCAAAAGTTCAATTAAACATTTATTGCTGACTGACAACAAGCATGAACGTATCCATTGTCTCCCTGGGCTGCCATTCTGATTTAATGCCCCCAAGAAATAAACCACCTCAACTACATTATAGTTGTGTGCCCCAATCAAACTGTAAATCCCATCAAAGCAATAACATATTTAACCAGGGTGAGAAATGAATGAATGACATGGATTGGAACCACATCTAAATCACTGTTCAACTACACATAACTGGTTGTCGCTACAATAAAGCTAACATAGCTACAGGAGCAAAGAGCTTTACATTCAATTTACAGTCAATTCTGTGAGATTTAAGATTCGAGAAGATTCGACCACAACTTTTTACTACAGTAAATTTGAATTGTTTCTCTACTTCTTGTTGATCTCCGCAGGCGAGGAGGTGAAGAACCCTCAGAAGTCTGTACCTGTGGGTATCGTGGCCTCACTTCTTATCTGTTTCATGGCCTACTTTGCCGTATCGGCTGCCCTGACCCTAATGATGCCGTATTACATGCTCAACGAGAAGAGTCCCCTGCCAGTGGCCTTTGAGTACGTCGGCTGGGGTCCGGCCAAATATGTCGTGGCTGTTGGTTCACTTTGTGCCTTGTCCACCAGGTAAGAACCTACTGGAAGCACAGTCAAAGAGTTAGTCAAAGAGTTAGGGCTGGGTCTCAAAACAAACCAGTCTCTAATATCTGAAGCACAGTCAAAGAGTTAGTCAAAGATAATATCGGTAGTTGGATAACCACATGTAATCTATCAGAAATGTTTATTTATTAGAAAAATAAACGTGTTTTTCTGTGAGGTTACACTAGATGGCGTGCACCAGATATATATCTCCTGTACAGTTATTTGGGTTTTCAAGCTAAAGGCAACATTTCTAAGCTCAGATTCTACAGACGACACATCTGAAGAAGTGTCTCCATGCAAATGCTGTTTGTTTGTTGTTTTTTTTTGGGTGATCTTGCTTTTTGTAAGTGACCTCAATTGATAAAACATCCATCGGCTAATACTTGGTCCGGCTGCATTTCCTTAAAATACCATCGTCAGAGTTGTGTCATTTTATCAATCCAAGAAAGCTAACACCATCACTTGGTGTTTGCCTGTTTGTCCAGTCTGCTGGGGTCAATGTTCCCGATGCCCAGGGTTCTGTTTGCCATGGCCAGAGATGGATTGCTTTTTCACCCACTAACCAAAGTCACCGCCAAAGGGAGTCCTGCTATTGCTACAATAGCTTCGGGGATCGTGGCAGGTACAGATGTTCCAGCTGTTCACGAGGCTCCGTCGTCATGTGCTCCATGTTTAGTCATGTGGACTAAAAAGTTTCTTTTTCCGTCTCTCTTCAGCCATCATGGCTTTGCTCTTTGACCTGGAGGCCTTGGTGGAAATGATGTCCATCGGCACTCTGTTTGCCTACACCCTGGTGGCCATCTGCATTCTGATACTCAGGTACGTTTACGCTCCCACAGCCTTCGCAGACAGTGATGAGGGGGCACTTTGTGTTTTACATGTATATCTCCTTGTACTCAAGGTACCAGGAAGTTTCAGAATCGTATGAAAAAGATCTACACGCTGGAGAACGCAAACATAATTTCCTGAAGCCACCTTCGGTACCCAACCCAACTACCTCCAAAACAGTCACCATCTTGACAGTAGTTGCTGGTAAATCTGGATGCATTCCATTTGTTTTATTCCTGAATCAATCATAGTTAAGATTACATTTTTTGTATGTTTCTGGGCTACACATGAGACCTCATTTTTTCCCCCCACAAGTTTCCTGTGTTACCTGCCTGTGCATCACCATAACCCAAGCCCTCGATGCTTTGGCCCGTTTGGAGGCGTGGAGTCTGGTGCTTGTTTGCATTTTCGGCGTCCTACTGTTTGTCCTTACCTTCGTAATCTGGAGGTACCCACAGAATCCCTCAAAAGCGTCCTTCATGGTGTGTACATCAAATATCCAAACAGCTGAGCTACACCTCTGTATCACGTCGACCAGAGTAGTGACTGTTCTGTGTTCCAGGTTCCATTTATCCCTGCACTGCCTTTACTGAGCGTACTCATCAACGTCTTCCTGATGGTGCAGCTGGGCGGAGAGACTTGGTTGCGATATGCCATCTGGATGTTAGTCGGTAAGTCTTTCTTTCGAGGAGCGTACAGCAGATATGGAAGAGTTACTGTAAACACTGGCCTGTGTAAAAACACCCCCCCTCCATCTGCAGGGTTGGTCATCTATTTCTGCTACGGGATTCGTAACAGCGTCCAGAGGAAGCGACTCATGGGCCAAAAGATGAACATTGAAACCGTGTGTGGCAAGACAGACGTAAAGCCTTCGTTTAAAACTGAGGTCATCAACGAGGAGAGGTTCTAGGCCTCGGTCTGGAGCTCAGAGAGTCTCACTCAGGTGTTACAGTGAGTCACGGTGTACCTACACTGGTTCAAGTCAATCAAGTCAACTAGAGCATGGATTTATAATCCGACAAACTGTGGAGACATTTGTGTAACATTTGAATGTTATTGTAACCTGAATTTCTTTTTTTCTTCCCCTAAATTCCTAATGTTCAGGTTATAATAAATCTATGCTCTCTGAGTAAATTCCTAAAAATGTAATTAGGAGACAAAAGACAATAAAATGTATTTTTCTGCCACATATTTTTTCTCAAATATAAATGTAAATTATAAATATCTCAGCAGAACATTTATTTTTAGTGGATTCACATACTGGTTAGTTATGTATTTGTTAATAAAATGTAAATTAAAAAAATAATTTTAAATTCACATTGTGGAAAAATGCAAAGAGATAGCATGTACATAAAAATAAAATGTGATGTCTCCAGTTTTACACTTAGAAATTAAATATTGCTATAAAAAGTTAAAATAGTTGGTTTTCTTTGTACATGATAACATATATATGTCATCATTATGGTTCTGCACACCTTTAAAATATATTGATTTAACTCTAAGTTCTTTTACGTAGGATTATGATTTCATTGTTTTGTATTTGTACAGTCTATGATCACTATTCTTTTACGTAGGATTATGATTTCATTCTACTTGTTTTGTATTTGTACAGTCTATGATTGTCACTCAAACCTATGACTTTTTCAAAACCTGAAACAAAGTACAAACTTGGAGGGTTTTTGTTTTTTAAAATGAAATAACACACATGTAAATATTTGTATTGTAAGTTGTATTAGATATTGATATTGACAATTTGATCAAATTGATTGTTGATAATTGACACTTTTTGCACATGGACCTCTTGTTAACATGTAAACTTTTATCAACACCTTGTTTTTATTACCTTGGTTTTGTGTGTAAATAATAAAAAACTGCACAAGTTATAATTATTTCTTGTAGATGGGTCTTTAAAAAAAATGACGCTGTCCTTAAAAGAACTGTAGACAGAGTTCATTTGAAGGGCAGGTTGAATTCCGCTTGGATGAAATGTCAGGGGCCGCTCACTACCCAGAATCCACTGAGAACAAAGGGACCTTTAAAAGAAACTTACCTGTCATGTTTACAACTGCTGCTAATGCACTAAGAGTTCTAGAATAATCCAAGGGCTCCTGATCTCTGCCTACAATCTGTTCAAAACATTAGGTAAAGTTTCATTGGTAAAGTTATATTTTGGTTTCATAGCTGGTTGACTGGTTTGCAGGTACAAATATATAAATATTCCACTTACCAGGTAGATTGTGATTTTTTTTTTGTGGCACCAACCAGTAAAAAAACATCTGCTTCAGGAGAACCTTAGAAGGTGTATTTAACTGGTGTGTAGTGTAGTGTAGTATAATATAGTCTTCTCAAGAACCCATCTGTCACTCTGACTGCACTATCTATCACATGTATGCAATGCACAGTTTTGTGGGTTTTCAAAAGAAAAAGTAAAACTTTTTGATGTTGAGACTGATGTGAAGAATCTACAGAAAACATGACTGCAGTTAGTTGTGCGGTCAGAGTGTCAGATGGGTTCGTGGTAGGATTATATAAGACGATGACAACGATGACCCCAAACATCACCCCTAGCCCCACTTATACAACTGATTACTGTACATTAGCGACCAGCTTCCAGGTTGACTGATGAGTTTTGGACAGACATCTCCCTGGGCAACAATCCTCACAAATGATAGTTGGACGTCACTGAAAAAAGACATAGGAGAGGCAGGAGTAAAGGTCAGTAGAGGCAAGGCAGTATCCATGTGTGTGTCTGTTCAGGTTGTGGGACATAAAGTTCCTGACTTATCACTGATCACCTCCATTTGGCTTTCATGACAGTGCATCATTTTAAAGTGTGCTTAGAACAGAAAGACTAACAGGTTTAAGAAAAACGGCCCAAAACATATCCTAACACTTCCTGTTTTTGTTTTTTAACTTTTTTTTTTTTAGATACTAATAACGTGTTTATTTTTTCCCCTGCAGACAGCCGGTGGCTGTGATGGACCGCAAATGCTTTTAAAAACGTCCCCACCGGCCCCGGCTGAGCAGAGTGGCACAGAGCTTTTCTGCTCACACACCTACACTTCAGCAGCTAAACAAACAGGCCTGGCTGTTCTGAACGGAGGGGCCTCAATCTCTGCACCCTCATTGGTCTGGGGAGGCTTGAAAGCCTCCATTGAACCAGTCAGGAGGAATTTGGGACACTATTGCCACGGTCAGACGGAGGAGGAGGAGGAATTCTGGTAAACAGCTGACCACTCACTCTGCGAGCTCTGACCTCCTCCTCCTCATCTTACCTTCCTTCTTCCCTCTCTTTTCCCGCACGTCTTTGGGTTTTTCGTGGCGTGTTCTCTATCGAACGGGCAATTCTTACATACAATTATGTCTTTGATGAAAGTGTCAGGGTCAAAGTGGAGGTTGGTGCTGACCGCAGTGCTTGTTTGTTCTGTATTCTTGGACGTAGGTAAGTGACTGTTGAGTTCACGAGGAGCAAAGGAGGGCGACTTCTGACCGCTCTGTGTTTTTAATGAATCTAAGGTTATAACATTTGCTAACCATGTGATTAAAGTAATGTTATTTAATATGTGACGGTTGTTGCAGACCGCGATATTAAATTTAGTGATTTGTTTCTTGTGCAGCTCGTTGTCAAAAAGACGCTCAAAAACACAGAGCTGCTACAGGAAGGAAGATCACACAAGGCAAAGCCAAGCCAGACAAAGAGTCCAGGAGTGTAACGTCCAAACCCAGGACCAGAGCTACGCCAGCAGCTCGTCAACTCAACAGCCGGGGCTCTCGCAGGTATGACAACAGTTTAAATGTCACAGACAAAAAATAAGTGGAAAAAAAAAACAAAAACTCATTTTAAAGATACACAAATACACATTTGCAGTACGGCAGATTGTAAGGACTTTCTATTTTGCGCCTTAAGTAGTGCCATTTGCAGCTAAGTGTCTGAACAGCTGCTGAATGTGAGTGACCTTTATGACTATTGGCAGCATCGTGCAATAAACTGCCTTGTTTTCATGATGGAAACAGCTAAATAAACCCAGGACTGCATCAAGGGATTATTCTAGCTCACTACTTCTCAAATAGTGGGGCGGGGCCCCCCTGGGGAGCGGGGGGTGGTGGTGGCAGCGCTGGTCGAGTGTGAGAGGCGTCCAATGGAATATGGCACGCTGGACAGAAGTATGCCGCTACTGTAACGCTCGAATGACTGAAACAAGCAACCAGTCACTAGGTGGCAGCGACTCATACAGCGGTTTGTACAGATAAGGAAAACACATTTTATCAGGTTGGTGTTGACACATTCCTTTGGCTGTGTTTTACTGATGCAAACATTTCTGGTTGGTGTTGACACATTCCTTTGGCTGCGTTTTACTGATGCAAGACATTATTAAGACTTTTTCCAATGTGTCTCAGAACTCTTCGACCAATGATCTTTTTGTGTTCGACCCATTAAGGTGCTGAACAGAGGGAAGTTTAAAAAAGTGGGGGAGACTATCAGCGTGCCAACAGGAGAGACCCTGGAGCTGAGATGCCGAGGTAACCCTGTGCAGTGGAGCGTCCCTTCGTACTTGCAGGAGGACGATGAAGGCAGGCTGAGGTAATTTTGTTTTGTTTCCGCTACTAGATATCAGTCTTTGTAGCGAGGCAGATACTTTGTTCAAATGTGTCGCTGCAGCTACTCAGCTTGACCTTCAGACCGATCAGACAGTTTAATAATTGTGTCTCTATTTTTTATTTATTTTATCCTTGGTTTTATTGGTATTTAGCTAATTATCTAATGCTTCTTTAGGTAGATTTCTGTTTAGTGCACATTAATTGAAAACGATCTTATAGAACAGTGTTTCCCAAAACTCCCAGAAGTCACAAACCTTGGTGACCAAAGTCAATAGACATTATTGTAAACTCTTGGGAAACATGATGCGAGACGACCCAAAAAAAAAAAAAAATCTTGCGACCCACCAGAGGGTCGCGACCCAGTCTTTGGGAAACAAGGTTATAGAAGTTCCAGTGACAGTACTTGGTATCTAGGTGAACACAATGTAAATATTCATACTTGGTATCAGGATGATCCTAGGTTCAAAGATAAGAGTTGTACGCTCATCGACTTTTTCTATATCATCATCACAGGATTGTCCAAAACGAGCGATACGGTGTTCTGACGTTAGTCAACTCGACAGGCGCCGACACAGGGGAGTACACCTGTTATCCAATGTACTGCGAGGACACAGACTGCAGGAAGGAGTACGACAAAGCTGTAAAAGTCTTCGTGTTCTTCCCAGGTACAATAAAATGCATTTTATTGATGCTGATGCATTAACTTTTTAAACGTTATTGGCCCGTGTCTCATTTTTATCACCATCATTTCACATCCACATGTTATCTTATCTACAATCTGACATTTTTTTCCCTCTCTTTCAATCAGACCCACAGGAACTCTTTGTCCCATCATCTGACTATTATAAAGTGATTCAGCTAAGAACCAACTGGCCCACAGTCCTGCCCTGCCAGGTGACGTCACCTGAGGCCAAAGTGTCTCTCCATCGTGAGTTTCCTCCGGCGGAGGTGGCAGTGGACGGATCGGAAATCTCTTTTAACGTCAGGACAGGTTTCACCATCCACCGACCTCGGCCTTATCACGCCGGGGCCTTGTACTGCGTGGCCAGCCGGGGTGGCCTGAGGCACAGCTCCACCAAGTACATGCTCATCTATGTTCACTGTGAGTCATGTTTCATCTTTCTCACCTTTATCCATTTTTTTTAATTGCCGCCCTTATCATCTTAGTACGATAAGGAAGAAGAGCAATAATCAAATCAAACAGTAAAAGCAACCACGGTCCAATGGTTTAAGGCTGTGGTTCCCAAACCTTTTCTGCATATTTGTATATATGCATACATATATCTGTGCGTACATATATATTATATACATACATAAATACAAATATATACAACTGTTGTTGTTATGAATCCCATTTTATGTACTGTGATTTAAAACTGACATAAACTCACGTCGATATTTGCCCTCAGACCCCACGGCTGCTCCTTCTCCAGTGATACAAGCCTCGGTGAGTTCAGTGGTTCGGGGCGAGAACCTGCGCGTCACCTGCACTGTGGTGGGAGAACAGGGTGTGGCTGTGGATTTCACCTGGGACTATCCTGGAGAGCAGGTCAGACAAAACATTTCAGGGAGGGTGTATAAATTCACTTTATCTTTTAACAACCATCATGGGCTGTTTGGGGGAAAAAAAAAGGGTGTATAAATTCACTTTATCTTTTATCGTTTGGGGGGAAAAAAATTTAAATAGAGTAGAATTTAAATTTGAATTTGTAATAAAAACTACATTGCCTTCTGTAATTTAATGTAAAAAGTATAGTGTGCTTCAAAATGGAATACCTGTGCTGGTTGCAGAGTGGGAGGCCTCCATACACCCAGGAGAACGTCAGTCCAGTACCTGGAGGGACGTCTCAGCAGCAGCAGCAGTCTCAGTCTGTTCTCCTGGTGGATGAGGTGAGGGACGTGGACCAGGGAACCTACACCTGTACAGCACAGAACCTGCAAGGAGCCAAATCCGTGTCCACCACAGTTAAAGTGGTCAACAAGGCGAAACCTAAGAAACCTGAACCACGGGGATAAAAAGAGGGAGACAGAGAGTGAGAGAGAGAAGGACAGAATCAACAGACTGAGGTTTACTTCCTTCCTCCGCCTTAGCGCCCTCTGTCTTTACAACTGTTGAAGTATAGAATGATATTACTAAAAATATACTGTGACATCACGTGAGCCCACATGATATGGAGTACAAAGTGCACAAAGAATTACTTTGTCATCATAAGTGCTTATAATTGACCTTTTGGTTTTATGTTCAACTCTGTTTACACAGTGGCTGGGGTCTTACAAAGTACAATGTGTATAATATAAGTATTTACAATCGTTCCATTTTATTTTCTGACCCAGTCTGTGGTCACTGAGCGAATCACAATTTCTTTGAATTCAGAAATTCCTACAGAAAAACAGAACGTGGACAGAACAGGCCAACCCACAACCAAGAGTCAAGATGAGTTCGCAGTATTTTCTATATGTAGCAACCACTGAAAATTACCATTGAAAATAACCAGTTTAGCTTTGAATGGACTGACAGATAGTTGCAAAATACAGGATGAAAACAAATGTTTTTTTAATTATTATTTTTCAAAGAGTATGTTGATGTATGGCAAACAATAAATATATTTCAATACCTTGTGCATTTTGGTCCAAATTTCATTAACCCATGAAATTATACATTTGGCCGAGTCAAATGTATAGTTGATAATAATAATTTATAATTATTTAATTCATAACGGGTTTTTTTCTATTCTATTAGAGACAAGCTTCACTGACAAATAGTCGCCGCTAGATGGCACTGTTTAGCTTAAGAGATATCATATAGCGGGGGTCGGACATAGATGAACTGCCCCTCATGTTTCCTCTCACTCTGCTGTTTCTGGTTTCAAACCTTCGGGAGGGAAAAGAGAGAGTCCCATTTATCCCCCCTCTGTCTCACACACTGAAACACTGCGTCCTCGCAGCAGCAGCAGCAGCAGCAGCGCCGGCGGCAGACTAATCTCTGTCTGAGTCCCGGACCATAATCCAGGCGGCCACGTAAACAGTCTTTATTTACTGTTTACTATTTTGTGATCAGAAAAAATAAAAATAAAAAATCCATCGCGCAGATCGGACCGCAGCGGATCTCCAGTGCTGACCCGAGGGTGATGTTCTGCAGCCTGAACATGGTGAGTTTTACAGCGTCTGATGATACCTCTCAGACCTGAGATCTGCTGTTGCTCGTGCACTCTGCTGCGGCGAGGAGAGGGTGTCAGTCCCCGACGGCTGCACCCACCGAACTTTCTGCAGACCCGACCCGAGCACGGCCGAGTCGAGCTGGGATTACAAGGCGTCACAACCAGAGTGGAGCAGGGAGGTCAGACTAAAGGCTGCAGGGTTCCTGCGTTAACACTAGTGTTTATGACTTTAATTAGAGTTGTTGTCACCAGTCCAATAAACAGCATCTGTGTATGGTATCAGTCTGGCTGCACATGACCGACGTACAACAAATATTTAGTTACAAAACAAAACGAAAAAAGATGTGAAATCTTAACTGTATACTTTTAAAATATATATATAAAATAACACAAGTTATCATTTATTAAATGTTTTGTTTTTTACATTGGGTAACACTATAAAAGAGTGATTAGTGTTGTTGCCTTACAGCTTAAAGATACCAGTTTGAGATTTTGCTCAGCTGACTCTCGTCTCCTCGTGTGCTATAGGTCAAAAACATGCATGTCCTGTGATGGACTGAATGTCCTGTACAGGGTTAAATTGTACAGGATGGAAGGACAGATGGACGTCTTTATGAGAAGTGCACCGTCATCTACTAGTTTTCTATCATGGTTTCCCATATAAGGAAATTGAAATGTACAAATGTCTGATATATTTTGCATTGACCTAAAAATAGTTTTATGTTACTGTGTATAGATTTCTATAACCATACATTCACATTTATTGCAGCCAACCATGCTAGGTCCCAGATATGCTCCTTTGTACAACCCAAGGGCCACATCTTGGGGACATGTTCTACAAATCAGGCTGCGTGAAATAAATCTGATAGAAAGTATAAATATCTACCAAAAAGGAAGAAGAGAAATACTGTATAAAGTACTATATAAATTGCGGAAGTGATAAATTCAAAAACGCTGACACCTACTGAGTTGTAGGCCACATGGCAGGTCATCACCTGCATCATCAGCTGTGCTATTACAATCGGGGCTTAAGATTATAACTTTTAAACACCAGTTCTACCCTAAAAGTCCCACAG